TTTTATCTTTTTGAAAATTAAAAGCTTGTAGTGTGATCCTTGTGTCTGTGGGTCTTCATGGCATTTCGTGAAAGTCTCTTGGTAGCAAATGAAAAACTAATGTAGTTGGTCAGAAAAAATAGTTTGTTCGACAAATTGGATCAATGCATGGTGATGATAAGACTTGGAATATTTACTTTCAACATTATAATCTTTCAAGATGTACTTTTTGATTCAAAAATACCTTAGCTCTACCTGGAAGAATAGAGTTAAAACATGCGTTTGAAAGTACTCAAGGTTATCATTATCGTTTGCCACCAGAGTAAATCGTATATAAAACTTTCATTTGTGTGCTTGAAATGCAGTATCCACTCAATCTAGAAAAGTATTTCTTTGTGGAAATGTGTTGTGTATATAACAATAAAAGTATTGAGAAATAAAATAAAACTGTTGTGTTTTGAAAACATTTCCATGCTTTGGCCATCTTCAGTAGTATTTGTATAACAACATAATTGTTCATATAGCTTTAAATGGTTCACTATTGTTTTTTGGAAAGAAAGTTATAATGTTTGATGATCTGAATGTATTTTTTTGTCAATTTAAACACAAAATATTCATTTTCTTGTTCTGTCACATCATATTTATCATTTAATTTTTTTTGGAGAAGTTAATAAAAGTTCAAGCGACCAGACCGGCATGGGCAGGTATTTAGGGAGCTCGACTCACAATCTGTGGGTCACGAGTTCGAATCCCCGTGACACCAAACATGCTCGCCCTTTCAGCCGTAGTGGCATTATAATGTGACGGTCAATCCCATTATTCGTTGGTAAAAGAGTAGCCCAAGAGTTGGTGGTGGATGGTGATGACTAGCTGCTTTCCCTCTAGTCTTACACTGCTAAATTAGGGACAGCTAGTGCAGATAACCCTCGTGTAGCATTTGCACGAAATCCAAAACAATCAAGCAACCAAAATTCTTTCATATATTAACTCTTCATTTTAACTTTACAATATGTACAAGTCACTGACTAATGTTATAAATAGATCAACTGATTTTAATATCTCACCACTTTGATCTTCATATTTCCTCTATTTTGTTTAACTTTCCAATGTCTGTTATAAATTTTCTTGACCAAAAAAAGATAGTTATTGATCCTTGTATACGGTAATTTTAATTTGTTGTAAATAGTTATTTTTAATGTAGGATAATTAGGTAAGTCGTTTAAAATATTATTTGCAGCTTTGTTCTTTAATTCAGAAATTAAATATTCATGTTGAAACAGTACAGAGATGAGGTTGCTAAAGGGATAATTAACTTAAAAACTTTTAATATGTAAAGAAAAGCATAAACAGATGCTGTATTTTTCAGCAAATTATAGATTAGATTAATGTTTTGAAAAATCCTAGTAGCTTACATAAGCTACAAGAAGTATATATATATATTTTTTTATAGTTCTGAACTGCTAAGGTTAGTAATACTGAGTTTAACATAAAAGAGCATCATTATATGCCTTGAAAACATAGATTTAGACTTGTTCCTAACCAGAAAATTATTTTCTTCAAATTAGTAACTTGTTGAATAATTTTGTCAGTTTTATCTGCTGTGTTCTGAAGAGGTTTATTTTTTTAAATTGTTAACTTGTGGCATAATTTATTCAGTTTTTTGCTGTGTTCTAATAAAGTTTATTTTATTTTGTTGTCTAAGAACTATGCCATGAAAGATTTTGAGGGGTTGTTGTTTGGGCAGCATTCCATCAAAATTTATACATCGAAAGTGATAGGAATTATTTGAAATTACATCCACAACAGAAAAATTCCATTGAACTATTAGTAATTTTTTTGTAAGGTTGTGTTTAGTGCTTTTAAATATGACATGTAAAAATATTTAATCATTTAAATCATAATTTTCTGGGTTTTGTTTTTTGCCTGTCATTATCTGACATGATCACATTGTAAACATTTTTAAATGATCCAGTTAAAATCATTGGCATTTTAAAAGAATCAAAGATGATAACTCCTGGACAAGTGCTTGTATTTTAAAGATACCCTTCAATGTTCCTGTACTGTTTGATTGATGGAAAAGTAATCTTTTATTGGTGATGAGACTCGGTTGTGTTAGATATAATTGTTAGGTAGGGATTTGTTGATGATAAATAGGAAAAAAAACAAACGTGATTATATTTCTTATTTTTTATTTACCATTTTTACTCTTCTAGGCTCACTTAAATTAATTGTATAAATTATCGTGTTTATGCGAGTAATAGAAAATATTATTATTCTCATCTTTGATTTTGATGGGTAACATAATCTTCCAGTTACAATTGCCTTAGCATGTAAATACCTATTGTGATTCTTTCATAGTTCTGTGTGTGTACCTGTATTTTCAATGTTATCGTACTATTTTAAAAGCTTATAACCCTTTCATAATTGTTAAACTTGACAGTACTCAATTCAAACATTTGTACGTGTGAAACTTAAGCATTTGTAATGTAAGTAGACCATCAAACCTTCAACCATTAATTATGTTTCAACTTAGCTGTCACTATATTAGTGTAAAGTGTAATGATAATCTCTTTCACATTTCTTCTCCAAGGACATTATAAAACTAAAATGTTACATAGTAAAGCAAAACAAAATTCTGCTGAGCTGGAATCTTAAAGAATAAGTAAAATGTTAAATATGTGGTTTCAGAAAATATGAAACAGGTTTCAGTATAGTTTAAAATTACTCTTAGTTTATCTTACATGTTGGTCATTTATGTTATCACTAAATACAGACACAGTAAGGCTTCACGAAATATTCCACTTTTATATTTAGGAGGAAGGAGATGACAATGACCCCCAAATTTTTCAACTTAGGAGTCCTGTAATCAGAATGTAACGTAACTAATGAAAATTGTGTTATTTCTCCAGTGTGTAGACTAAAGTGGTGCTGAACATTATAATTACTGGACGTTGTGGAAAAGGGATTAACTGTGCCTGTGTTGTGAAATTAAATTGTGAAGTATGTTACATCAACCATAATTTGACTATTAAACAGTCCTTCATTGAAACACACTACACTTAGTATCAAAGTATCTTTGTAGATGTGACGTGAATGTATCTCAATATTAACAGCATATTCTTGTAATATTACAGGAAAATTGGGAAGATGAAGATGAAGATGATGAAGTTAAAGATAAGGAAGAGAAAGAAACAGAATCAGGCAAGTTGATGTGTGTAAAGTTTTAAACCCATTTTTTTTTGTTTTTGGTGATTTTCTTTGCCCATTTAAGCAGATACTTATGCTAATAGGTCTTGATGGAAATCCTGTCTTGTCGGCATAAAATTTAACGTATGGTTGACTTTAAGTGGACCTCATCTTGTTCCACGAAGAACTTTTCATATCGTACTGCAATGTCATAATTCAAACGTAGTATAAAAATGATAAAGGAAGCTTTTTGCAAGTTATAAAAAAGTCAGGACTGTTATTGTGGTGGCAATTGTTCACAAACCTAATTTCTTCTAACAACATATCACCTGAATTTTAACTTAAATTAATTTGAATAATGAAGCTTTCATTGTGTGCCCAGATCACTCGCCTACAACTTCTCAAAGCTAAGATACAGACATTTACTTCACTCCACAACGGCCAAGGTCACAAAATGGTGATTTGTTAAAGTTGATAAAAACAACACTTTTATTGAAGGTATGAGGTTCAAGCTAGTGCTGTTTTATTCAAAACTGTTTCAACTTTTCTTCCTGTGGGCTACAAATTCTGTATTAATGCTCAGAAAAAATTCAGAAGATTCACAAATACTAATGTTTTCATTCAAAGCAAATTGAAATCAACCCAAAATCCAAATTTGTGCTTTTTTTTTTATTCCTATGTTTAAAAGTGAATAAACCCTTTTTAAACTCTGAGATTTATATTTGTGGGATTTTTGTGTGGAAGAAGAACATCTGGTTTATTTTCTATAATTTATTTAATTTAGTAGTTCAAATTTGCCTTCCTCGAAATGGAATGCACCCATCTGGGCAAAAGTTGGGCTTTAATCCATGCAGTGGGCACAGCACATATACCCCATTGTGCAGCTTTATGTTTAAGAATAAACAAGTCATCTTTTACAATATGTAGGAAAGCACACCCAGCTTTGATTGAACTACAAAGAGTAGATAATAATAAGTATATACTAGTATCAAAGCCCATCCAAAATGATGGGAAACCAAAGAGTACCCAAATTTGGATTTGCAACGTTGTCACCCATAAAAAGACATAAAAATAAAGGACCTTTTAGCTTTGGGAACCAAAGAGTAACCAAATTTGGATTTGCAATGTTGTCACCCATAAACAGACATAAAAATAAAGGACCTTCTAGCTTTGGGAAACCAAAAAGTAACCAAATTTGGATTTGCAATGTTGTCACCCATAAACAGACATAAAAATAAAGGACCTTTTAGCTTTGGGAAGTCTATCATGAGCAGTATCTACTTTACCTAAAGAGTGTTTCTTCCCAACATTCATTGATCACAGTTATTTCCTAATCACATCAGTTGCATTATTGCAGTAATTCTCCTAAAACCACATTTCTTGTAAATACTCGATCATCATTCAAATACTTCTCTTCATAACAAATGGAAAATTAATTAAATAAATACTTGGTAGAAAAACTCCCTCCATGACAGACTTATTTAGCAGAACAAGTGCTGAAATGTAGGGGGTATTTATGCCTATGTTAGGGATTGAATTCAATTAAAACTGGAACGGGTAAAGAAAAGACGAAGTATTATAGAAGAAAAAGTGAAATTGGACTCGAGTAACTCGCAAAATTTGGGGAAATCAAGCATGACTCACCAACACTTGGCTTTTATGTTTATGATATACAGGGTGTCCATAAAGTCTTTTTACAATTTAAAAAATTATTACAAAGGCAATTGATAAGATATCTTTATCA